CTTGGAAGCAGGAGAAGAGGGGGAAAATTTTGGACCTAGTGAGCCTGCAGGAGAGAGTGAAAAACCAAATTACTACTGCTCCGAACCTGGAAACGGGCTGCCAGAAAGAGTGACGTTTTTTGACAGCTAGCTAAATAAGAGAAATATATTGTTTCCATTGTCCTCATCTGCGTTTAAAAAGCAGGAAAAGTAACTGAAAACTGAAACTAAATTTATAGTTTAAATTGTGTTTGAAAGGATTGATACAAGTGGAGACTGTTTCCCTCTAGAGGGAGCTTTTGAAACTGTTACAAGAGTGGAGCTGGGGTTTTTCCAGCTGCAAGATAAGAAGTGTGTGAATCAGAGATTGACCTTGGATTTTAAGAATGTTGACAGAAGGAGCCTTAGTGACTGTATTATGTAAGATAAGCTATTCGTTAGAACAGCTCCACAAGAATACGGATGCTATGAATACCAGACTTGAGAACTTGGGACAAAAAGTGATTAATTTGGGACAAAAAGTGATCATTAATACAGAAATTGTTCAGGATTTGACACAGGAACCTACTTTGACAGGACAAACTGGGGAGAAGACGAAGGAGAATGTTGGTGTTGTTGAACCTAAAATAATACAAGTGGAAGCCCCAGTTTTACAGAGGCAAATTGAGGACTATAAGTGGAGGCCTTTTATGAATGAATATAGAAAAAGTCAGAATTTGAAGATTGGAGCCCTGCTTGGATTGGAGAAGGAAGGTTGGATAGACTCTTTCATGCAGAGATTTGCTGACCTTTGGGTCCTGAATCTGGGTCAGGAGGTGATTGGAGTTGTGGGGGCCTTTGGATCTGGGGGAGCCTTGAAACATGATTTGAGATATTGTATGGACACTGGTTTTAGCTGTGGAGAGTTGGTTGGCCTGTCGAGAGGGAATGGGGGCATGGTTGGGTTGGGGCCCCCCCAAGACCTGCGCTTCAGCATCTTCAGCATCAAAGAATATGAAGAAAAACTGCAGAAGGGACTTGGAAAAGATTTAAGAGCCTCGGACAGAAGATCTCCAGGTTGATGAACTATATGGAATGGATGGAAATGACTGGCAGAATCTGAGACCAGGGAGAAGAGATGGTGGTAGAAGACTGGGAAAGTTTAAAGTTTATATATAGAAATATTGTAAATTTAATGAGTGTTAGAAAATTGTTGGAATGAAACTTTATGGCTTTAGCAGAAATGTTATAAGGAGTTAAGTATAAATAAGTATTTCAGTATTAATGGAAAATAAGGTAAAAAATATGTTAAGATATTCATCATGATAAAAATAGAGAAAAATGAAAAGGAATTGCTGAAACAAGTAATAGAAGTGGAATACAAAAAGGGAGGTGAGAGGAGGTCGATGAAATAAGGGAATGAAAGATAGAGTAATGAAATGGTATGGTATATGTTTTTAAATTGTTGTTGTTTTGCTTTGTTTAGTTTAGCATGTTAAGGTTGTGTTTTGTATTGTTTATTGTATTGTTTTTTCTTTTCTCTCTTTTTTTCCTTCTCTGCTCTATTTTGTCTTCCTCTCTCACCTCTTTTCTTCTTTTTTCTTTTCTTGTAAGTTTTAAAAGCAATAAAGATTATTAAAAAATAATAATAATAATCTTATACCTGAGTCTTGCCCTGCCATGTCTGCTTATGCTAATCTTGTACCAAGGACTTGTCTGGACATGTTTGCCAAGGTTAACCTCTCCCCTTCGAACTGTATTCTGGGATGTGGTGGGAAAGTTTTTAAAGTCTTTGTCACCCCATCCTCGGGGTTCAAAATTTGCTCTTTGAACCTACTGCGCAAGAAACTTTGGTCTACAGCTATTTGCTCCGGTCGGCTGGACTCCTTCCTTTATTCTGCAGGGACCCGCGGGCTCTGCCCGACGAGCTGGGTGACTGAGCAGCCTCGCACCTAGAGTTTTCCTTAACAGAAGTTACAGGGAAGCAGGCTGAGGGCGAGGAAATGGGCAACATTCTGACATTTAGAAGACAGCTGAAGGCAACCCTCTATCGGGAGGATTTTAATGTCTGATGTTTTACGGTCTTTTATTTGTACTGGAACCATGCAGTGGAAGAGAAACTTAAAGATGGAAGCCTGAGAGAGAGGAAAAGGTTTCTGGCTGCTTCCTGGGTGGGATTGTGGAAACGAAGAGCTGCTTCTGAGAAGGCCTCTCCCCTCCTCTCTTCCTGGACAGGGAAGAGGATGGAGAAGATGGAGGATGGAGGTTGCAGGAAGGAAGGGGTGGGGGACATGACCCCCCACTTTCCAGGGATCCCTCTGGCTGCCTTGAAGGGGTGGCTGATTCCTAGGTGGGAGGGAGAAGCCAAGGCGGCCCCTCCAGAAAATCCCCGTAGGCGCCACCATGGAGAAGTCTCCCCAAAGACTGGTTTCCGATCTCCCCCCCCCCCCAATGCTGCCCTTCGCTGCCCCAGGGATGCTCCCCCCTCCCCACTTCACTCCCTCCCTCTGTTCCAGAGTCTCCCCTGCATCCAAAGCCCCTCCTTGGCGCGGCACAGCCCTCATCCCCCATCTTTCCATCCTAAGGGGCCACCCCAAGACGCACAGATTAGGGACAGGGGGGTCTCTATCCAGGTGTCCCTCACGCCCGTTAACCCTTTCATGGCCCGCCTTTATCCGTGCGGAGCCCACAGGGTCCCAGGGATGCCTGCGCGGGGGAAACGGGGCAAGGGGGCCCTCGTGGGGACCCCCTGCGTAGGGTCCCCATGTCCACCGCTGCCAAGGCGCCTAAGGGGCCAAGGAAAGCCCCCTTCGCAGCACACGTGCAGGGATCCAGGCCCTGCCGGTGGTGTCCATGAAAGTCGCTTTGGGGAGCTGGCGGGGGTCTCTGGGTCCTTTTCTCCCCTCTCCCCCCTCCCGCGAGCCCTTTACCTCCTTGTCCTCGCTCCCGATTCTCCTTTCCTTTCCTGCAACATCCACGGGCGGGGGGGGGGGGTCCCCTCCCATGACGCCCCGCCTTTCCTTTCCAAAGCGCGCTCCCCTAGAGCTACGCCGCAGAGCAGCAATCCGGCGCAGAAGCTCTACTTGCGGGAAAAGCAGGCAGTTTGGGAGGGGGGGCTCTCTCCCCTCATTCCGGAAACAGAAGCCGGATTGGAGGAGGAGGAGGAGGAGGAGGAGGAGGAAGAGGTGCAGCGCATGGTGGAGGGATTTGGGGTTGTGGGGGCGGGGTGAGAGAAGGATGTACCAGGAAGGGAGGAATTGAGGGGGGCGAAGGAGAGGAAGGTTCCCCCCTCCCTTCTTCGTTCAGGGGATGAGGAGAGCGGGAGAGGGGCTGATCCCGGCAATCCATTTGCAAAGTGCGGTCCCCCCCCCCCGAATGTTTACATTGCAAAATCCTTCCCTCCCCCCCACCCCACGCAATGATCTTAGATCCATTCCATGTTTTAGGTATTGGTGCACATTGAGCAGCGGGTTGGGCTCTGTGACTCCTGTGTTAGGGAAAAATGGGGCTTGGGCTTTTGCACACACGCCCCCCCCTCCCCCGACACCCAGGTAAAATTCATCCCTTGTGTCTTTTTTTTTATTATAAATATTTATTAAGATTTTTACAATATTACAAAATGAAAAAGGAAAAGGAAAAAATACAAAGTAAAAATAGTTAAAAACAATTCAAACTTTTCATCACTTATCTTTCATTTACTTGTTTCCCGGACCTCCTCATACCTCCCCTTTTTGTATTCCAGTTCTATTTATTAGTTCAGCAATTCCTTTCCCTCCTTATTTTATCCTGATCTTTAATCTTAGTATATTATAACATTAATTTACCTGTTAAAAATCCAATTCTTTTCATATTCTTTTATACCAATACAGCTAGAAACCACTTAACTTCAATCCAGCATCATTCTAACATTCATTAATTTCCGTGTGTCTCCGTCAGAAGTAACACAAGGAGGCCAGGAAGAAAGCAAGGCAGCTGTTGATCTGTTTGCAGGCAGAGCCCCCCCCCCCATGCAAGGAGTGAAGCAGCCCAGAACTAAAGCGCGTTGCAATTTGTACACCCTCAAATAATCGCCCCCCCGTCACAGAGAGAGCACCCCAAAAACATCCCCGGTTGCGTCACAAAATGAGTTCTGCACGGAAATCAGATCAGACTCCGAGTTCGTGTTTTGGCAACATGACAAGTCTGTCCGTCGGGATGCCTGAGGATTCCTGCTCCCTGCCTTTTCCTGGCCAGCCTGAGAGATCACTGGAAAGGGCGGATTTCTTGACTCCAGATTCCATCACCGCAGACCCGTTTCATTCAGGCGTAGAGATCTGCTCTTTGGACAAGTCTGCTTGGATCATGTGGATCATCATTGGATCATCCATGATGTGATACCCGTCTCACGGAGGGGGGGGGGGCTCAGGAAGAATCTCCTGCCACGTAACTGGGGGAGTCTGGAGGCTGACGGGGGTCAGACAGGGCTGCTGTTTTGCTCTCCTTACTATTTCAGCTCAGCTTTACTGGCAGAAGTTACATTTCATCCAGAAATGGGTGGATTCATTGAGGAAACGGGGCTACGTTTCAAAGAGGCAAACGTGTATACTTTGTTACCATCCTGTGAGTTGTGTTGCAAAGGCCATTTGCAGAAGGGCTCCTATTGTATCACCTGCGGCTACATGTTTTGATCTTTTTGCGGAAATGTTTTCCTCTGGCTGAGACCACTTGGGGCTTTCAAGGTCAGCCCCGACACTTTGAATAGTGCTCAGAAACGGACCGGGAGCCAGTGAAGATTTCTTAGGACCCGTGTTCCAGCAGGGACCACCTGCTAGGGGGCCGTTCAGCTGCTGTCCAAAACTGAATGCATCCCTTGCCGGAAGTAATCCATAAACCTCTCCTACTCCGTCTTCTCGGGATGCCATTGGTGCGCGATGCTCCGCCTCTCGAAAGAGGGAGAGGCGTGAGTTGGGTGCGCTCGGCTTGCCAAGGGTTAAACGGAAACGAGCTAGATTCCTAGACAGGAAAGTAAGACGGGGGGGGGGCAAAGTAAGTAAGACTTTCCGGAGCGAAAGCCCAACCCCTCCCTTTCCTGCAAGACGTCGGGCGTGTGGGGGTCCCGTTGGTTCGGCTCTGCAGAGGCTGCCTGGAGGCGCCTGCTGGGATCCGGTGAGTCTCCTCTCTCCCAACATAGGGCCCATGGGGAGAGCGGGGGTCCCAGCGCTGCATGGCGAGAGGGGGGCAAGTCAGGGCGCGGAGGGTCGCAGGAGGGCGGCAGCTCTGCTCTTCCTTTGCATGGATGCGCTGCTGGCCCCTTGGGGAGGGGTCTGGGGTCCAGGAGTGGGGAAATGCATGCAAATAAACCCCATTCGGATGTGTGGATCAGTCCCCTTGTATAACAGAGGTTGTCCGCGGATGGAAACATCCGGACATGAAATATACCCTGGTCCCTAAAACATCACCTGTGCAAGGAGAAGGAAGGAAGGAAGGCAGAGAAGAGAAAGCGCTTCCTCTTGCAGGGCAGAGTAAACCTGTGGAACTGCCTCCCACAAGAGCCAGGGAGGCCACCAATCAAGGTGGCGTTAAAAGAGGAGGAGGCCAATCCGTGGAGGAGGAGGAGGAGAGGGCGATGGGGGAATGCTCTGCCCTGTCTCCCGCATAGGAGGGAGCCCTCTGGCCTGATTCTGCAGGGCTCATTTTCTCCTCCAGTGCTTAGTGTTGGGATGCAGCCAAGGAATTGGGGGCAAATGGTAGGCCCCCAGCTGTGCTGGGCGATCTCCAGTCCTTGGATCAGCATGAAACTGCGACCCGAGCTTCAGCAGCCTTCAGAAGCTGGGCATGCACACTCAACAGAGTAAACGCACAACAGAAGTGGCTGGAGAGGCATGTGTGAGCAGATTTACAAGCAGTTTATTCAGCACACATCAGGACAAAGGAATCATGTCTGCTCTCCTTCATGTCCAAAGCTAGACAGCATAAGCAAAATCTATACAGTGGTACCTCGGGTTAAGTACTTAATTTGATCTGGGGGTCCGCACTTAACCTGAAACTGTTCTTGACCTGAGGCACCACTTTAGCTAATGAGGCCTCCTGCTGCTGCCACGCCGCAAGAGCACGATTTCTGTTCTCATCCTGAAGCAAAGTTCTTAACCCGAGGTAATATTTCTGGGTTAGCGGTGCCTGTAACCTGAAGCGTCTGTAACCGGAGGTACCACTGTACACAAACAGAAGTTCCCAGCAAGCTGTGCTGGAGTGTAAACAGGCATGTGACACACAACAGTCATGCCTGTCCCTTAAGGTGGAACGGAAATATTCTAACACTTAGTTCCTCCAGATGCAAGCGTGGCCTCTGAGATTGCTGGGGGTTGGACTAGATGATCCTTGGGGTGCCACCCACCTCTATAGTTCCATGAAAGCACCACTGGAGGTCTCACAAGCCAAGGGATTCAGAGCAGGAGAGGTCCTGCTGGAAAGGAAACAACCAGTGCAATGGTTTTCAAAACAGGAATCCAATGTGTTTGTTGTGGGGGGACTCAGTGGGGAGGGGTAGACCCCTGGATGCCGCCTTGATCTCCTTGGACAAAGAGGTGGGAGAGAAATGCCATTCATAAAGAGAGGCAGCCCAGCCAATCATCTGGCTGCTGCATTTTGGACCAGTTCCCGAGTCGCCTTCAAGGGCAGTTCCACACAGAGAGCGTTGCAACCATCCCATCTGTTGCAGAGCAGGGAAGACCAGCGCCATGTCCTCTCTGTCCCAAAAGGTCTGTGGGGTGGGGAACTAGCCTGAGCTGGACATGGGCCTCAAGCAACCATGATGGACCCAGGAGTGTCCTCAAGTATTCATGACTGGGGAGGGGGCATGTTAAGCAATGTAACATCATCATCATTATTGTTAGTTCCCTGCCTGTCATCCAACTCTCCAAGAGCAGATTACAAAATTTAAAAAACAGCAAGAAAAACAGTTGAAAACACATTACGCGCATAGAAAGGCGAGTCTCGCTTTATCTGCTTTTGAGTGCTGTCCTTTGACCCCACCCACATGTCATTTGGCCCTCAGGAGTTATCCAGATAAGGGAATAAATGTTCTCTGAAATGGGTTTGGGCAGGAGAGCAACTCTTGAGGAACCCTGGGTTAGGAACCCCCCCCCAACCCCAATGCTCAGATAACACTCAGTACAAATGAGTCACTTGTCAATCACAGTTCTGACTTCATTCCATGATTGAAAACTCTGAAAGACAGGAGCAACCAGGCTGATTCATCTCTCAGAAAGACCAGCAGTTCCCTGCACATTTTGCATGGTCACTTTCCCTCTAAGAGGGCTGGAGACTTACTGTATTTTTCTCTCCATAAGATGCACTTTTTCCCTCCTAAAAGGGGGAAATGTGTGTGCGTCTTATGGAGCGAATGCAGGCGGGAAACGCCCCCAAGAGTCGCACACATGCTCCGCGCGGCTCTTGCGGACTCTTCCCCGAGGAGGGAGTGACACGGTCAGTCAGTTCCTTCTCCCTCCTCGTAGAAAAGCCTGCAGGAGCCGTGCACCCTTTAAAGAGGGTGCGGCTCTTGCTGGCTTTTGTGGGAGGTGGGGGAAGGGACAGAGGGCAGCCCCTCAGTCCCTTCCCCCACCTCCCGGAAAAGCCCCCAAGAGCCACACTCCCTTTCACTAGCCGCATTTCACCAGGCCATTTTATTAGCAAAAGAATCCTTTACACAGTGCTCGTAAGAACCAATCAGATTTCCTCTGAGCATTTAAACAAAGCCCAAGTGGGGACAAAGTTAAACTATAAACACTAGTTAGGCATGCATACTTTGGAGTAAATGAATGAAAACTACAAAGGAGCACATTCAGCAACCCCGGAGGTCATAAGCAATCAGTACACGTGATAAGAAGGATGGCCAGGAGGACAGTGATCATTATCACCTTAATGTGAAACCTGTTTCCTGGCCCCAAGATTAACATCCTAAGATTAACATGTCAGAAAAGCTACATCGACAAAACTGCCCATTGTCTTTGAGGACCCAGGACGCCTGCCTGTCTAAGTGTGTACGTGACTTGTGAAGAGAGAGAAATGGGCAGTAGAGGAAAAAGGGCATGGATGTAGAATCTTACGGGATTTAATCAGAAATTATCATCAATATATCAATCCCAGTCAACACAATGCATTCATCGTGGACACAATGGCTTGATGTATATTTTATAATTCCACATGGTAATCTCATCTGATCCCTACAAGCGCTCCCTTTAAAATATATTTTTTTTCCTTGCATTCCCCTTCTAAAAACTAGGTGTGCCTTATAGTCAGGTGCATCTTATGGAGCGAAAAATACGTTTTGCTTCTCGTTTCTAAAGAAACCTCAAGAGTCTGAGTTGTGGTGCAGTCCAGAGCTGGCTCTTCCAAGACTCATACGTACTTCCTCACGGAACATTTTTCTCTTCCAGGCAATAGGTCAGTTTTGTAACAGAACGATGTATTTGCTTTGTAGAATTTGCAAGGATCTCTAATTCAGACAGACAGAACTTGGCAGAAGATCAAGGGATTCCTTCATCTCTCTTGGAGTCTTCCTGAGAGCAGAGATGGATGAGAAAAACTCAGCTGGGCCTGAAGCAGGAAGAGACCATGCCATCAGAACTGGGAGCCGTGGTAGTTTCTGGGGAAAAACTGTGCAGAAGATCCTGGGTGAGGAGGACACTCTCCGCTCAGAGGTGCAGAGCCAGCAGTTCAGACAGTTCTGCTTCCAGGAGGCCAAGGGACCTCGAGAGGTTTGCAGCCGACTCTACAACCTTTACCATCAATGGCTGAAGCCAGAAAGGCACACGAAAGCTGAGATGCTGGACCTGGTGATCTTGGAGCAGTTCCTGGCTGTCCTTCCACCGGAGATGGAAAGTTGGGTGAGGGAATGTGGAGCGGAGACCAGTTCCCAGGCAGTGGCCCTGGCCGAAGGTTTCCTCCTGAGTCAGGCAGAGGAGAGGAAGCAGGCAGAGCAGCAGGTGAGAGAGACTTTCCTCTGGATACTCCCAAGGGGCTCCGAACGTGTGTGAGGGTATCTGAAAATTCTCCATCCTTTTTTTGGAAAGCAGCCATTGAATGCTATCAGATTGCCCTTCAGTTTTTGCCTCTGTCATTCCTTTTCTAACTCTTCTTTATATTCTCTGTTTTGAAACTTTGTTGCTATTTCAGAGACAGGATCTGTTTGCAGAAATGGGCCCAGATTCCTCTGAGACCAAAAGGATTCTGTTGGACACGAGAGTAAGGCTGCTGGGTAAGGAAGGAGTCCGTTCTCCCTTTGGTCCCTTTCTGTGGATATCAAAACGAATCCATGGGTTCTTGTCATCTTTTTTGGGGGGAAAACACTTGGGGCCAAGAGCACCAAGGAAGGGAGATGTATTTTTTAACCCAACTAAATTATGAAATGGGTCCAAATGTCCAGATGCACTCAGAAGGTGAGACTTTTTGGAGAGCAGCTGCACTCCAGGCTTCCCACTTACCTCTGTCTCTTGCAGGTGACCAGGTGATGCCAGCAAGACCTCCTCATCCATCTATTCCTGGTGGTGAAGGAGAAGCAACAGCTGTGGAAGCAGCTCAGGTAGAGGGAGGGAGCCCTGTGGGGAAGGGGGCTGGGGGGGGCAGCCAGGGTGCCTCTGGCCCCCAAGGAATCTCTCTCCTCCTCTTGGCTTCTGTCCAAGCTTCTCTTAAGGCATCTTTGTCAAGGGCAGCCTAGACAGAAGCCAAGAGGCTGCGAATGCCGTTCGAGAAACTTAATGTCCTGAGAATAAGGAACAGCCACCTTGCCTTAACTCACCTTCTGAAGGTCAATAAGATCATTCATAAGTCATTGTCGTTTTATTTGTAGAGTTATCATTGAATGCTAAAATAGACTTCTAAGCAGTTCAAAAAGCCTAAAAAACAGTTCCCAGGATTCACCTATCTTGTCGCATCAGTTGCACAATGGGGCTTTCCCCACCTTCTCCTCCCCCCCTTTCCCCCCAGTGCACTTCTGGAAGTTGTCTTTAGGGCATCAGAAAGGTCTCTCCACCCCCCCCCGAAGAACAGCACATGGGGAGCAGAGAGGGGATCCTTCCATCTGGCACAGACAGAAGGATTTTAAGAACACAATGAAGAGTTCCTTCCATTTACACAAAGATTAATGTCCGTCACTAAATCACACAAGAAAACAATTCGACTAAGACATTAAAAGCAGCACCCACAATTAAAACGTGCAGCAGGACGATCCCATTGAAACAAAACACCATTTAATGAGCAGAAAGAAACAGCAATGTGTAGCAGATAATCTTTATGCTCTCTAAAGAGGACCTTTTCATTTCTCTCTTAGGGTCCAGTGTGCTTTGAAGATGTCGCTGTTCATTTCACAGACGAGGAATGGGCGTTGCTGGATCCAGACCAGAGAGCTCTGCATAAGGAAGTCATGGAGGAGAATCATGGGATCATGGCCTCTCTCAGTAAGGCTCCCTTTTGGATCCTAATCTCTCTTTGGAAATTCCATGCATCTCTCTCTGTGATAAGCCTCCCTGGTTTTGAGGAAGCACTACAGGGCCATTTGCAGCACCTGGGATTCTAATACCCCCTAAACTCACCTTAAATGGAGGTCTATCGACTGTTTTGACTGTGGACATGATCAAGCCAGCATAGACCTTGCTGAGAATGGAATGGGAACATGCTGGGAATTTGAGGTTAGGAAAGCACATCTTTGTTTGACACTGTCCTGCCTTGTATTCCCCAAAATCTTCCTGACACAGAGCTTGTGGAAGGCATTGAGGGGTTGTTTCTGATGGTTGTAATTGTCCATGACTCACTTCACAAAGCAGCTTGCTCAACACACAATCCTGATAGACCTTCATCTTGGTATTGGTTAGCATCCCATTCACCCATACAGTGGTCCCTCAGGTTACAGACGCTTCAGGTTACAGATTCCGCTAACCCAGAAATAGTACCTCGGGTTAAGAACTTTGCTTCAGGATGAGAACAGAAATTGTGCGGCAGCGGCATGGCGGCAGCGGTAGGCCCCATTAGCTAAAGTGGTACCTCAGGGTAAGAACAGTTTCAGGTTAAGAACGGACCTCCGGAACGAATTAAGTTCTTAACCAGAGGTACCACTGTACTCTTTTGGAGAGGTGAGCCATTGCCATAAGTGCCTCACCAGTACACATGTCTAGGTCAGCATCAATGAAGAGGCTGTTGGTTTCTTAGGTAGACACAATCATCCACCACCTCCAGTGTCTGAAACTCGCATGGTGCTAGGCGCATTTTGCAACAGGGAATGTCATAGACACGAGCAGTTTCTGAGCTCTGCTCACAGAATCTAATATTTTGGATTAAAACTGCAGAGTGGAAGGAAAGAAGGACCTTTTTCTGCCTCCCCACTTCCAGCTACTCTCTAAAGACTGAAGGAGAGACCTTCTTAAAAACCCAGAGGGGTGGGCAGGGGAAGGACTATACCATGTGAAAAATGAACATATTATTTCAGCTGCTGTTCATTCCTTTTCAGCTTTGTATTTTTGTCATAAGAGAGTGCATATGGACATTCCATTTTTGAGCCCATAACCTAGGTTTAAGGTCCTCTTTATGTCTTAGCTGTCCTATCTCTGTTTCTAACACTGACCACCTCTAGTGTGTGGTCAGCAATGTTGATGCATGGAATTCTTCCTCTATCACAAGGGTTAATGATCAATATTCAATACAGTGGCCCTCCATTTCTTCATTGCAGGTGGTGATGATTTGGAAATTGAGAGAGAGGACGCCCATGACAGAATTCACACAGTGGAGAAGCCATTGCCACTCTTGGAGTGTGGAGAGAGCTTCAGCCACAGTTCCCATTTGACTACCCACCAAAGAAATGCTATTGAGAAGAAACCCTCTCAGTTCTCTGAATGGGGAAAAACTCTCTGTTGGAATGAAAGCCTCACTTCACAGGAAATAATTCACACAGGGGAGGACCCACTGAAATACTTGGAATGTGGAAAGAGCTTCAGTACGAGTGCACATTTCATTTCACATCAAATAACTCACAGCAGGGAGAAACCCTATCAGGGCTTGGATTGTAGGGAAAGCTTTAATACAAGCACAACCTTCCATAAACACCAGAGAATTCACAGGGGGGAGAAGCCATTTCAATGCCGAGAGTGTGGAAAGAGCTTCAGTCAGAGCACCCATCTCACAGCCCATCAAATAATTCATACAGGTGAGAAACCCTATCAGTGCTCGGAATGTGGGCGGAGCTTCAATCACAGGGCAAATCTCACGGCCCATCAAAGGATTCACAGTGGTGAGAAACCCTATCAGTGCTCAGAATGTGGGAAGAGTTTCACTGTGAGCTCCGGTCTCACTTCCCACCAAAGAATTCATACTGGGGAGAAACCCTATCAATGCATGAGCTGTGGAAACAGCTTCAGTCAGAAGGCAAGTCTCATTTCCCATCAAAGAATTCACAGTGGTGAGAAACCCTATCAGTGCTTGGAATGTGGGAAGAGCTTCAGTCGGAAGCAAAATCTCACTTCCCATCAAAGAATTCACAGTGGTGAGAAACCCTATCAGTGCTCGGAATGTGGAAAGAGTTACTGCCATAGAGCCAATCTCACTTCCCACCAAAGAATTCACAGTGCTTGGAACGTGGAAAGAGCTTCTGTAAAAGGGCCCATCTCGCTACCCATCAAAGCATTCATACCGGGGAGAAATCCTATCAATGATTGGATTGTGGAAAGAGTTTCCTCCAGAGAGCCGATCTCACTTCCCACCAAAGAATTCACACAGGGGGAAAACCATATCAGTGCTTGGAATGTGGAAAGACCTTTAGTCACTGTGCCAATCTCGTGGCACACCCAAGAATTCACAGTGGTGAGAAACCATAACAGTGCTCCCAATGTGGGGAGGGCTTCACTGTGAGCTCCGGTCTCCCTTCCCATCAAAGAATTCACAGTGGTGAGAAACCATAACAGTGCTCCCAATGTGGGAAGAGCTTCACTGTGAGCTCCGGTCTCCCTTCCCATCAAAGAATTCACAGTGGTGAGAAACCATATCAGTGCTTGGAATGTGGAAAGGGTTTCCGCCAGAAAGCCAATCTCACTTCCCACCAAAGAATTCACACAGGGGAGAAACCCTATCAGTGCTTGGAATGTGGAAAGAGCTTCAGTCAGAAGCAAAGTCTCTCTTCCCATCAAAGAATTCACAGTGGTAAGAAACCATATCAGTGCTTGGAATGTGAAAAGAGCTTTGGTAAGAGGACCAAGCTCATGGCCCATCAAAGAATTCATACAGGGGAGAATCATAGAATTTTAGACCTGCAGGAGACCCCTGGGTCGTCTAGTCCACTGCAGGACAACTAAAGCTTCCATGACATATTGCCTTCAAACTTCTCCTTACAAACCTCCAAGGAAGGAGAGTCCACAACCTTCCAAGGGCATCTCTAATTTGAAGCCATTGGTTTGGGTCGCAGCCTCCAGAGCCGGTGAAAACAAGCTTGTTCAATCTTCCACGTGATAGTCCTTCCTGTTCCTCAGAAGGCTTGGTTTCCCAACACTTAATTGTCTTGGTCATCCCCCTCTGCACACCTTCCAGCTTGTCAAAATCCTTCTTAAATTGGGGCACCCAGAACTGGACACAGGACTCCAGGTGTGGTCTGAACAAGGCAGAAGAAATTGGGGCTGTTGCTTCTCTTGATCTGGACACTTGACTTCTTTGGACGCAACCTAGAATAACAGCCTTTTTTGCTGCTGCATCATACTGTTGACTCATGTTAGTCTAAGACCCCAGGTCTTTTCCACATGTACTACTGGCAAGCCTGGTATCCCCCATCTTATATTTGTGCAGCTAATTCTTCTTGCCTAAGTACAGAATCTTACCTTTCTTCTTAGTGAAATTTATTGGATGCCTTTATATACCACCTGTTTCTTCAAGAAGCTCAGTGAGGTGTTAAGTCGTTCTCCCCCTCATTGTTTAATCCTGACAACAACCCTGTGAGGTAGGTTAGGCTGTGAAGCCATCACCCAGTGAGCTTCATGACTGAGTGGGGATTTGAACCCAGATCTCCCAGGTTCTAGTCCAAAACTCTTAAGCACTGCACCCCACTGACTCTCGAATGAGACTTTTGGTAAGTGCATGCATGCGCATTTACTTAAAGTTTCAGTGCAATGTCTTGGTGTTTGTATTTAAAGTTGTGTACACATGTATCAATGACATTAATATATTAATGGTAATTACAGTATAAGAGCAAATTTTAGGTATTGCTAGACGGCGATAGGGTTAGTTTGGAATGCTGGGATTGAAAAATTGAACAATTTCCACATGAATCACAAGAAGATCTAAAATATAAATACAAAACGGCAACAGCAACAACCCCCGAAAAAGCCCCATGTCATGTATTGATGAAGTTGTTAGAAAATTTATTATGGGAAAGGGGGTAAAAGTTTTAAAAGTTCATGCAACCATATTCTCGGTGTTCCTACTCTTTGTGTGGATGAACCTTGTTGCTACAAATAAATATCAGGTCTACTGACCGCTGTTTTGCTCCTTTAACTTGCCTGGATTCTCCTTCTTTGCTGACCCCGGGGGACCGCTGGGCAGCGAGCTGGGCAGCGGAGGAAATCAGCACCCCAGGATTTTTTCCTTCTCAGTGCTTCTCCACCTGAGCCTCTTACCTAAAAGCCTGACACCCCACAATGAGACAGGATTGTGTCCCTGCCCTCAGCAAACAAAATAGCTCCCCCTCCCAAGATACTGAGGTGCCCTGAGGGCTGTGCGGGATCCCCAGTCATTGAAATGAAAAGGGGAGAGGCTCAGGAAAGTTTCAGGTGGGGAGGGGCAGCACAGGCTCCAGAAGCTCTGTCTCGCTCATTCCTCCACACTACTCCCCCCCAATTACACCTGCCTCCCCCCCCATGGCTCCTTCACAAGTGTGGGGAAGCTGCGACCCTTCTGCCCCCATCAAAGTTCCTTTAAGACCCCATATTTCAGGGGGCAGGCTCATCTGCAGCAAAACAAAACACAGCTGCCCTGGCCAAGTGGAGCCAGGCTGGGGGGCACTGTGGGGACCCCGGAAATGTGCCCTTAGAAGAAAAATGTGCCCCTCTGTCGGAGGCAGCCCTCCTTCTGAAACACCAAGAGAGTAAACGGACAGTTCTCTGAATGGAGAGGAGCAGAAAGCGGAGTCCCCTCAAGATCAGTATTGGGACCTGTGGCTTTTCAACCTGTTCATAAATGATATAGACTTAGGAGGTAGCAAAGTTTGCTGATGGCAGTAAATTGTCCAGGGTTTTTCCAAGAAAGAGAGATTGCAAGGAGCTCCAAAAGGACTTCTTCAAAGGGGGTGAATGGGCAGAAAATACAGTTCATTATCAATAAGATTAAAGTGATGCATGTTGGGTCAGCCTGAACTGCTCTCTGCCCCAGACTCTTCCTGCTCACCAAACCCTGTTTCCTCCTCAGCTTGCAACACCTCCCCTCCCATTCTGCTCCCTTTTCTCCCTCTTTCTGCTCATCGCCATCCCACCACCAGTCCCTGGGCTCTGAGCCTTCTTCCCTTGTGGGTCCCCCAACTGGTGCCTCCCCCCCCTGCACCCACCCGCTCTATGACAGCAAAAGCAGAAACAACAGTAAAGTCAGTATGATAGTAATATGAACTGTGGTCCTTTGGTAGGAAAACTACCTACCAGCATGACTGAATAAAAACTTCTGGGACTATAGAAAACTACTATCTTCCCCAAACCCCAGAATAAGCAGGTGCTCTGGGGTTGCCCCATGGGGTTCAAGAGTGAAGATGGGCCCCCCAGGAGACTTCCCTGGTACCTGTAGCCCCTCCTCCCCCCTCTTGCAATTAGGCTTGGGGCAAAATCTTACATTAAATTACAGCATTTCAAGTTTTTTTCAGAATGCTTAGGAGGCAGGGATGAAGTTCTGGTGAAGAAGCAGTGCTTGGAGATCATGCGGTGGGGGGGTTGGTGACATAGTTTGGTGCAAAAACCGTCTTGCATGCTTGAGTAGAGCAACTCCAGGGCAGCAGGACTTCTTCAGTAATAGTTTACTGAGTTTTCAGAGCATACAGTTCTCACTGGGTCCCCAGTGAGGCACAAAACTTAGCTCCTGAGAGCAAATCCAGTTTCAGCAGTAAAAAAATACAGCACACAGGATATCTAAGCCAGGCACACACACCGGCAGAAGGGAGCAAGGGAGGAAAGAGGCTGGAAGGACACAGGGCAATGGAGGTGTGTCTTTCGCTTCCTGTCGCCTGGGAGGGAAGTCAGCAACTCAGCATCTGCAGGGGCTTCACGAAGAAAAGCTTTCTTCTTTTCCCCCCCCCAAAAATATTCATTTTATAACACAAATAAAGAACACAAACAGAAAAACAAACAACACAAACAGATTATTCTCTTATCCTTATTTTTCTAAACATTGTGAAGTGGGCTTCCCCAAGTCCCACCTATCTGATTTTCATTTTACTTCTTCTTTAGCAGTTTACATATATCATAGTTTCTAACCATCTTTTTTTTATCACACTTAAATTAACTTCACATTTCATCGCTTGCAAATAATATTATTTTAAAATACACTATCTTCTACTTCTAACCCTACAGCCTATATCCACTTCCAGAACTATTCTGAGATTTAAATATTAACATATTTTTTCAAATATTCCTTAAACTTCTTCCAATCTTCTTCCACCATCTCTTCTCTCTGGTCTCGGAGTCTCCTGGTCAGTTTGGCAAATTCCATATAGTCCATTATCTTCATCTGCCATTCTTCGATAGTTGGTAAATCTTCTACCAATTCCTTTTTCCACAATTTCTCCCAGTCCACCATCATGATATTGTGCCCCACATCCCTGGCCCATTCAATCATTACAGATTTCACTTGTTCATCTCTCGTATGCCATTCCAGCAATAAATTATACATCTTATATAGATTTTTTGGTTTTGTATCTAATAATTCTGTTTCCAGATTGGATTTCTCTGTTTGAAAACCGATTTTCTTATCCATTTTAAACACTTCATTTATCTGGATGTACTGGATTAAATCATCTAATTTATCTTTCAACTGATCATAATACTTCAACCACATAGCTTTCATATTCAACCTTTTATGAGTTTTAGCTTCCAATGGTGATATCCACCTGGGTGTTTTCCTTTCTAACAAATCCCTGTATCTTATCCAAACATCATACAAAGATTTTCTAATTATATGATTTTTAAATCCTTTGTGAGCTTTTATCTTGTCATACCATAAATATGCATGCCAACCAAATACATTGTCAAAACCTTCTAAATCCAAACCATCTGTATCTTCCAATAAAAACCATTGTTTCAGCCAGCAAAAGGCTGCAGCTTCAAAGTAAATCCTTAAATCTGGCAGGGAGAAACCCCCCCTCTCTTTTACATCTGTTAATGATTTAAACTTAATTCTGAGTTTTTTCCCCTGCCAGATAAATTTAGATAATACCTTTTGCCATTCCTTAAAACAATTCAACTTATCAATGATAGGGAGTACTTGGAACAAAAATAACAACTTAGGCAATACATTCATCTTTATCGCAGAAATTCGGCCCAGCAAAGATAGTTTCAACCTTGTCCAAATATCCAAATCCCTTTTGATATCTTTCCATAACTTTTCATAGTTGTCTTTGTACAAAAGCAATTTTTTTGCAGTCATATTTACACCCAGATATTTCACCTTTTTCACAAACTTCAGCCCTGTGGGTTCCTCTAAGTTAAGTTTATCATGTATCATTATTTCCCCCCCTAAAACTTTGGTTTTATTCTTATTCAATTTGAAACCTGCAACTTGTCCAAACTGTTGGATTATCTTCAGTGCTTTGATTGCCCTGATCTCAGGGTCCTGTAAAGTCAATACCAAATCATCAGCAAAGGCTTTTAACTTATATTGTTTAGTTCCACTACTATGCCTTTAACTTCCTCATCATTCCTTATCATATTCAACAGCACCTCTAGGACAGAAGTAGAAAGCGGGGGGGGGGGGGAGTGGGCACCCTTGCCTGGTTCCCTTCTCAATCCTAATTTCTTCTGAGACCACATTGTTAATTATAATTTTTGCTTTCTGGTCAAAGTAAATTGCATTAATTTTAATTTTTTTGACCGATCCCCATATTACACAAGTTCTGTTTCATAAAACTCCAAGAAACATTATCAAAGGCTTTCTCTGCATCACTAAACATTAACATTGCTTTAGGATTCTTTTTTGCCTCTAATATTTCCAGTACATTCCTAATATTATCCAGTACATTCCTAATATTATCTTTCATATGCCTCTCAGGTAAAAAACCTGATTGATCTTTATATATGTGCTTATTCAAAACCTTCTTCAATCTTTTAGCCAAAATATTTGCAAATATTTTATAATCCACATTCAACAAGGAAATTGGTCGCTGATTCCTTACTTGAGCTCTATCTGTATCTGGTTTGGGTATCAGAGTGATGAAGGCCTCTTTCCAGGACTCGGGTGCTTTGTCCCCCTTTAATATTTTGTTACAAACATCCATCAATGGTTGTATGAGCCAATCCTTAAATATTTTATAATACTTGGAAGTTAAACCATCAGGTCCCAGTGCTTTGCCTATTTTCATTTGGGCAATTGCCTCTTCAACTTCTTGTCTTGATTCAGGTTCAATTCAAAATAGTCCTTTAGGGTTGTAATGGTTCTAGGGGTTGCTCGTGCGTAAACCGGTGCAAACACCTGGCTGGGTTGCCTGAGTGAACCTTTTCTGTCCAGACAGCCACTCACCCATGGCTGTCTCAATCGCTGGCAGAATCCGTCAGTGGGCGTTTCTTAAACTTCTTCCAGCAAAGAAGCTCTTTGACGCCTAGTCTCCTCCTACTCTCTCAGCGCGAAAGCCTTCTGTGCAAGGAGGGCGTAGGCAGCGGAGGACCCCTACTCTCCCCGCTGGTCCCCGGCAAGGAGTCATGGGACTGCCTCGCCGCTTCCTCCATCTGCCCCCCTTCTCCACTGGTCTACGCTGATTCTCTTCCCCAGAAGATAGGCTGCCTCTCCCAATCCCGGGACGCTCTCTGGAATCCCTCTGGATTTTGCTCTCTCCCTCTGGCACTGATGGCAGTTCCCTGACATCCACCTCCTCCTCAGGACCCCCCCACCCCTGGCGCGATTTTCCGATACAACCTCCTCTCTCTCCTCGGTCGATGATGCGGGGAATCCCCTGAAGGAACTGTCATCATCTTCTGAGGATTCAAAACCAGCCTCCCATCCGCTTGGATCTCTTCCCGCTGGTTGAACCTCCCAGTCTGATTCTTCGCCCTCGGACACCTCCTCTCCCTCCTCTTCGGAGGCAGGGAAACCCACAAAGTCCCCTTCGTCGTCTGTGGGTCCAAATTCTTCCTCCCAGAATCTAGCTAATGGTTTGGGCTTATCCGGGAACAAACCATGGAATTCTTCCACCAGATACCTGTCAGTGATTGATTCAGCAGGGACTCACATGTTTTCAGACCTAGGTTCCCCCTCCCAGGCTACCAAGTACTCTACCTGGCGACCTCGCCACTTTGAATCAAGTATTT